GGAAGCCCAATCCGGGTCACCGATTCGTTTTTTAAACCATTGCTCTAAACAATTAAATTAGAGCCTACCTTCAAATAGTACCGAGAAATTTGGTTTCAATACTGAAAATATTTTTTGATAGCCTTAAAATATATTTTCGTCTTTATTTATAAAGTTTAAAGATTAAAAAATAGTATAGATTTCTAAAAATGCGTTACAATATACACTATTTGCAAAACTTGAAATCCATTTTTTTTTTTTCTCAAATCCATGCATCTTGATGTCGAGATGGTCAATTTGAAGATATTTTTTGAGGTAGACTCTAATTTGATTATTTAGAGCCTCAGCTCTACATAAACTTTTCTTAAGTAATATAAAAAAAAATCTTATTTTTAATTGTTTTTTTTTTTTTTCCAGATTGATGCTCACCATCTTAGTCATGGATTTTGGAGAGAAAACTCGTTCAAATAGATGAGTCAATGAACTCATCAAAACCTTACCCTTTCCAAAAAGTATATGTTTTAACGGTGAATTAGTTGTGACCTAACCACCTCATTGGTTTCTTTTGGTTTGAGCATTTTATTGATATTTCCCTTACTTTTTATATTGATTCTTCTTCTAGGTTGCTATGTACAATTTCCTTGCTTTCACTAGTGGGTGAGATGTACTAAGGTGCCCACCTTATACTATGCAAGTAAGGCACACCGATAAATTTTTATTGAAGATGTAGTTCCCATGTCATAAACATTACAATAGCTTGAACATTCACATTCAACCATGATAATGAAATAACATTCACATTAAACCATGAAAATGAAATTTAAAATTCAAAAAGCAATGTAGATCAAGCATATCTTTTTTTTTGTGGGTATATTAGTGGGGATTCTAGGCCATAATCAATTTTTTGAAAAGATCAAGCAAATCTATAAACATATAAAAATCTTGAAAATAAATGGTCCAGATAACTTGTTATAAGATGTACTCTTTTAATCCTTGAAATTTTTGTTCCTTTATTTTCTTTATATCTATACATCTTAAAGTTGAGATGATCAATAGGAAAGTTTTCTAACTTTGGAACATTGTTTGGTATTGGATTTTTTATATTGGATTTTTTATGGGCACTTTACTTCTATAGTATAAGGTTACAACCCTATATAAATTTTTTCCTCCACTGATATGACTTCCTCTCCTTTGCTACTTATTAACCTGACCTCTTTCTGCCATTTTTTTAATGGGAATATTTTTCAACATTCTACAATTTCTCCAAGACCAAGTCCGGTTCTTAGAATGTATGCCCATGCAAACAGACACACACATACATGCGAGTACACTTAAGACAATCAGTGTACATAGATCTTAGAAATGCAATTGTTGCTTAACATGAATTCTTCTCCTAAATGAGGCCTCACAAAAATTAAGGTAAACAAAGGTTTGTGACTTAATCTTGCTAACAATTCTAACCATCAGGATATTGGATAGTCCAATTTATTATAGTGAGGTCCATTGCATGAATCATGGAAGGATATTGAGGCGAATGCAGGGTGTATTATTTGAAAGGATACAAGAAAGGCAATTAAGGACAATCTGAAAATCAGCCCTGAGTAATTTGCCCACATTCCATGATGTCCTCCAACCAGCCATTCTTTAGAACAAGATGATCGTCACAGGCAGAATGGCGTCCTGTATATGTCGAACTGCTTTGAAGATGTCAGCTGAGGCTCCTGATCAGAAAACACACAAATAATTACTATAACATGAGATAATTTGTTCATAAATGAGAGAGAGAAGCTTACAGGAAACACTATCAAATGACAACTCCTTCATAGTCATACACACACAAGTACCACTCTGCTTTTGGTGAATCACACATATATATACATTTATAATTCACAATTGAACAAATGCTGGCACAAAAACAGACGTGTATGTAAATATTAATGCAGTATGCACGTATGGTAAGCAAAAGTTAAGATATATTTAAACACGGCAAGTTGAGGGAAATGATAAAGCATGATTATGACTCTATGCATGGTGAGTGGACAAGTCAAAACCTGCTTCATCCCTTCCCATAAAACCCTTTTCAAAAGGCAGGTGAGAGGACCATTGCCACCTATAAGACCCGAGTGGGCCCCACGTATCGCAGACCTCATGGCATTAAGTAGACTGCCGTATGTTGTTCCAGAACCAGTGAGCAATGCTTGGATGAAGCAATAAGTCATAGTGCCGGTATTCGTGCCCTCTGATAGAGCCTGCATGTACATAGCAATATGATAACTAACCTTGCTCCAACTTTACTTACAAATCATACAATGCTTTTCTTTGATATACGCATGTGATATTTATATATGTATAATCTGATTATCTTTTCCTGTGTGTATAAAAGAACAGTTTCAATGTAGCCCTGTGAATTAACTAATAAATTTCAAAAACCTGCTATTCTATACTAAATTACAAATAATCACACTTAATCAAATCCAGCATCACTTAGCTCACAGTTTTGAAAATCTGAATGGACTTGATTGGGCAAGCTGAGTCCGACTCAAGTGGCTAGCCTACTTGAAAATCAGGTTCCAGTTGGGTATCCTTTAAAAAATAAAGGAAAAAGTCGTGTTACCCAGAATGAGTCATTCAACTTTTGCAAGTTGGGCATAAGCTTTTCCCTTCTTTCATTTTCCTCTTTTCCATTTTCAAAACGAGCAGACCCATAGTTCAAATATCTGCGATCGGAAACCTATGTGTTCATATTACATAGGTGTTTTAAGATCTACAGCATGAACCATGTGTTATTATTCTGATATTCTGAAATGGTTTCTTTTAGGAGTATTATGAAGCTTTTTTGAGACATTACCCCTTTGAATGGCACCAGAAGCCTTTCTCAATTGTCGAGAATGCAGCTTGAGATTAGATTTATTTTTCATTACATATCCCATTTCATTTGTCAATCTATTTCTTAAATAGTCTAGCAAGAGTGAATTTGTCAGCGTATCACATCACACAAGTTGCCATTATTTCTTTTCTGAAGCTGTTACTATACTTTTAAGGTAAAGAGAGTTACAAGCAAGTTGCCATTATTATAGCTGTATATGTAGTTAATGCAGTTTTGTATAGAGGATTTAAGATTCTCATAAAGAAAATTATAGTATTGTTTACCGAGGTATCTGAAGACTTTTGATGGTCATCACAACCACTGAAAGATACGGCCTCCCCACCACTTGTACCCTTGTATGCACCAGATGGAGGGTTGTGATTCTCCCATTGGTAGTACCCATAGCTGCATCTCAAGATAAGGGAGCATGAGAAAAAGTAATTGCATATTAGTATGGCTGCCATTTACCTTATCATTTTATATCAGTGTATTGGCAAGGACATGTGCAATACAGGACTATCTACAAGCGAAAAGTGTAAGGACAAAAGTTCAGCAATTTTCTAAACTCGGACATGGCAACCAGAAATTCATAAACAACTGAATAACCCATTCCTTTTGATGATGAAAAATAAATAATTACACTTACCCTACTTCTGCAAAATCATGTGCAACAATGACACATGTTGTGTGTGTTAGGAGAATCCAACAACACAAAACACTCGATAGATATGTTGATGCAAAAGGCTAGTGTAGACATGGGAGATCATTGTTGACGTCCATGTTTGGAAAATTTTATTCCTTTGAATTGTGCTGAAGGAATGTCTGCTAAATAGACATCGAGTTCACATATTGGACAAATTGGAATGGCAAAATGCCAGGCCAGCCCTGGCCCTGTTCCCCTGAGGGCTGGCCTAGGCCCGGCCCGGAGTGGGGCAAAGAGGCCCTGGTCCAGGCCCTATCTCAAAAAGCTCCATAAAACTTCTTTAAAGATACCATTTCAGAATCTCAAAATAATAACACATTTTGTATCTAACGACCATGAAGGTATGTATTATATGACCTCTCCTCAGAAAGTAAATAAGAGTGTGAAATGCTTGTAAAAGGTCCTAACCCACCTCATCAGACGCCTAGGAATGCATACAAAATCACAACAACAACAACAAAAAAAAGATCTCTAATAACCAGGGCTTAGCTCCCCTTAAACCGTATGCAAGCATAATATTCCAAATCATGTGCTGTTGGTTTTTTTTATCAGTTAAAATTTGAAATTATCGATTTTAAATCATATAAAAAACAATTTGCTCATATTAGGATTTTAATATTTACTTGTTTAAAAATACTCTTCAAAAATAAAAACAATTGAAATCAACAACATTATGACAAAGACACCACAAAGAAACTCTAAAAGATGTCTTTGCTAGTCTTCTAGTCTCAAATAAGTGTTGCTCCACAAAATATGTAACAAACATGCATCAGAGATAGCCCGCAAAATATGAAGTAAAAATAAAAGAAAGAATAAATAACAAATAAGAAGAAGGAAAAACAAGCACATCATGCAACACCAGCTACTAACCGGTTTACTCTGCACAGGAAAGGTAAATCCAGTACGGTGCCACTGTGACAAGCATCTACGATCGCATGAAGTTTAACACCTTCAGGAAGGGGCCTGACAATTGTTTCATTGATTTCATCATCAACAATCATTCCTACAGTTTCATAGTCTAGAGGGCACAGGGTCTCATCATATCCATCAATTTCATCTCCACTAGAATCCCTTTGTTGTGAGCCATGACCAGAGTAATGAAAGACTAATGAATCTCCTGGTTGACAATCTTGAACGAGCCAACGCATAGCCGTTCTCATGTTTTGCTTCGTGGGTATTCTATAAGGATCTCTTTCGTCTTCTGCATATTAAGTTAACAGGAAAAATAAGATTGTGTAATAACCAAGACAAGCACAAATAATTAGCAAAAGCAGCGGTATAAATGGTCAATTAAGTTTCTAAACCCAGGTTATTTGCTAATTATTTGTGCTTATGCTTGTTTCAAAACCTGAGTTTAACTTGTTACCTTGTTACAAGTTAAACCCAGGTTTATTGTCGAGAAAATGAAAAAAAATGGTCACATGCCATATGAGATAATAAAATATGCACCTCTATAGAAAATGGAGTTCCCTTTCTCTTCGACAATTTTTAACACGGAGAAAAAGCAATAAAAGAACCCATTATTTGGTGAAAAGAAAAGAAAAAATTACAAAATATTATGTTGGGTTCCCACTGTAGATGATTACTAAATGGACTCTAGCCTCATTCGATTTGACATCTTACTACTATTATCCCTTGCAAGGCCTTTAGTCAAAGAATCGGCTCAATTTTCCTTTGATCTTACATATTTTACATTAATCACTCCATCCCCAAATAACATTTTAAAGAAGAATACATTCTCGCAATATGTGTAGATTTTTCATTATATATATCATTACAAGCCCTCGCAATAGTAGCTTGATTATCACAATATATTGATATTGCAGGTATTGGTTTTAGTTATATGGGAATGTTATATAACAAATTATTTAGCCATTCAGTTTATTTGCCGGCAGAGTCTAAAGCAATAATTTCAAACTCCATAATAGAGCGTGAAATATATGTTTGTTCATTTGACCCCCATGATCTCGCACCTCTCACTAATGTAAATATCCATCCAGATGTTGATAGTGAATCTTAGATTTCATTATTCTAATTAGCATCACTATACCCTTCCAACACTCCAGGATAACCCACATATATTATCTCATAATTAATAGCTCCTTTCATGTATCTTAATACTCGAGATATAGCATTTCAATGCTCTTTATTAAGTTTCTCCACCGCATATGCAATGTTAGGCCTCGTGCTAGTCATTGCGTACATTAAATTACTAATTAAACATATTCAAGTTGAGATATACCTCTCCCATCATTTTTCTTTAACTTAATATGAAGATCTATAGGGGTGGAAATTGACTTACTAACAATATACTCAAATTTATTAAGCATTTTCTCATTGTAGTGAGATTGAGTCAAAATTAATATTTTTTCTTTTCTCACTATTTTGATACCAAGTATCACATCAGCCTCTCCTAAGTCCTTTGTCTCGAAGTTAAATGCGATAAACTTTTTAGTTTCCTCAACAATTTCTAGATTAGAGCCAAAGATAAGCATGTCATCTACATATAAACAAATTATGACACACAAAGAATTTATTTTATTATTATATACACATTTATCAGCCTTATTTCCCTTAAAAGTGTTTAACATCAACACATTATCAAATTTCTTATGCCATTATTTAAATGTTTGTTTTAGTCCATAAAGAGATTTGACCAGTTTACAGACTTTATTCTCATGACCTAGCATTACAAACCTTTTGGGTTGTTCCATGTATATATTTCTCCATTTAAGTCACCATTTAATAATGCAGTTTTTACATCCATTTAATATATGACTAGATGATTAGTAGAGGCTATTGCTAAAAGCAATCTAATGGCAGCAATTCTTGCTACTGGTGTATATGTGTCAAAATAATCAATACTTTCTTTTTGTTTAAAACATTTAGCAACTAATCTTGCTTTATATTTATTACTAGAACCATCAGAATTCATTTTCCTTTTAGAAATCCATTTACAACCAATGGGTTTAGAACTAGGTGGAAGATCTACTAATATCCAAGTTTTATTAGCTATAATGGAATCCACTTTATCATTAATAACTTCTCTCCAAAAATTGCATCTTGAGATGCCAATGCTTCATTTAGAAATGTAGGATCTTCCTCCATATTTAAGACTAAAGGTAATGAGTTCAAAATTTTATTTTGATTAGCCTCAACAAGATAAATATAAAAGTTAGGTCCAAAATTGTAAGATAGATCACCTTTAACTGGAATACACGTAATGGGAGATAAGAAGTGTTAAGTGTGTGTACCACAGTTTAAAAATCTAGTATGACTAGACACATCTGTACAACTATGGTTTACAAATAAAATTTTATATTTCTTAGTATATATAATACAAGTAATTTTATTTTTCTCGGTATATATATAATGCAAGTTTCCTTTTTATACCACATTTTAAATGGATGGGGAGGTGGTAGAAGGGCTTCGAATCTTGTAATGAGCCCGTCCACAAATTTTTTATTTTTTTCTATATTGTCAAGTGTCCTAAAGCATTGATACGAGATGCCAACCGAAAGATGTAAAACTGATATTAACCCATCATATAATTGTAATTTTATTGAATAAATAATTATTGGAAGAGTATATAAAGAGGCTATTTACTTTGGATAATTGTTTCATGCAGGCCGGACCGCATTTCTACATATGCGGTCTAGAAAGTGTAAAGCGTCAATTTTAAAGATGGATGTAAATAGGTATTCCATCTAAAAACGATAAAAACGAACGGTCCAAATGTTTTCTGACCATAATTATTATTTCTATTTTTAATTTTTTTAATTTTTTTTTGTTTTTCATATTCATGATCTCTATGTTATAGATTATGTCTTTACAAATTAAGTCTTAAAATCTATCTCAAAAATAGATTTATCAAGAGTCTCGCATTTCTACATATGCGGGCTTGGCCGCATGGAAACTCGGTCCATTTACTTTACAATGATGGCACAATCATTCTTGTCCATTAGATTTCAAATGAAATAGTTGCAAGTGTATTTGTGACTAAGCTCAAAGCCCAACAAAATTTTTTAATTTCATGACACACCCCAAACCATCTAATTAGACATCTAATGATTAGGATTAATTGTGGCCTCCTTGTACTAAAGATAAACAATCTCATAGTATACAATCCCATAATTATTTATGGGTACGGTTTCTATAAGGTTGCAACATTAAACAATCCAATTAAGGTGCACCTCCAAATTTTATCATAATACGTAATTTTGTTGTAAAACATTCTTAGAATTATCTTAAAATATATTTTTATGTCTAATTAAAAAAATTTAAATTTTAAAAATGGTTAAAATCAAGTAGATCTATAGACATATGAAAATCTTGAAATAGACTGTCTAGATAATGTGTTGCAAGATGCACTATTTATGGGACTCAAAAATTTCTTTTTTTTTCATTTTCATGCATCTTGATATCAAGATGATCAATTAGAGGATTTTCCAACATTAAAAAAACCTTTTTGATAGATTTTTGAGGTGCATCAGTAATTCTACATTTTAAGGTTGCAACCTTATATAAACTTTTTCCGTTATTTATTACATACTATGTTTTTAACCCCCAACACGGTACCTTTATATTGCAGCCTTTAACATTATAAAGATTAGGGAAAATTACATATAAATCCGTTATAGTTTTTGTTATTATCAAAATGCCAAATAGTTTCCGTTATTACTAGAATATCTGTTTTTTCACTTCATAATGAAAATTTTTTAAAAATAATTTTTTACCCTTTTTCGGTTTTTGAACAATCGAATTCGCTAGATTTTCGGTTGTTCAAAAATCGACAATATGCTCATTTCGGTTCTTGAACAACCGAAAATAGTGGGGCTCGTTTAAACATTTGAAACATTTGTTTATTTATTAGTGTAGAAAATAAACATGCAAATTTCAAGCTTCTGTCCTATTTTTGGTTATTCAACAACCGAAAACAAGACATTTTCGGATGTTGAACAACCGAAAATATTCTATTTTTATTTGTTGAAAAACCGAAAATATGACTGCGTATTCCTAAGTTCGGTTGTTCAACAACAGAAAACAATACATTGTCGGATGTTGAACAACCAAAAATGTTTTATTTTCGGTTGTCGAACAATCGAAAATAAAGACGCAAATTCCAAGCTTTTGTCCTATTTTTGGTTGTCAACAACCGAAAACAAGATATTTTCGGATGTTGAACAACCAAAAATGTTCTATTTATAGTTTTTGAACAACTGAAAATCCAACGAATTCGGTTGTTCAAAAACAAAAAACAAAAAGTAAAAAAGTCTTTTTTAAAAATTTTTCGTTATGAAGTGAAAGAAACGGATATTCTAATAATAACCAAAACTATTTGATATTTTGGTAATAATAAAACCTATAACAAATAGGTACGTACTTTTCCATAAGGATTATTATTTACATTAATAACGGCCGAATTTTAAACCACTCTAGAACCAACGGCCGATTTTTAAACCACTCTAGAACCACCGTGACGAGTGAACTTATCAACCTAGTGGAGTTGTAAAGGAGTCGTAAGGGATTGATTTTAGCACCGACTTATTTTTAAATTTTCATGGTGTTTTGATTGAAAATGTCACTAAGCAAATGGCAATTTTGTGTTGTTGTCAACGGGAGGGTGGTGGTGGTGGCGACGGCAGCGGCGGCTAGGCAGTGGTCATGGTTGGGGGAGACATGATGGATAACTGATGTGTCGCTTTGAGGTGGTTCTTTTGAAACTTATACGCATTGATTTAAGAACAAGAATCTAAAATGCTAGGGCAATGGTTCTGGTTCAACTGATCACACTCAAGCGATTCCAGATTGTCATTCACATAACTATGGTTTTAAAACTCAATTGAATTGACTGGGACTCAGCCAGTGGCGCAGACTCTACAGCTTGCCTAAGTTCCTAGGTACAAAATCAAGTTATATAAAAAAGTTAAAATCCATAAAAAGGTATTATATTTTTTCTAAATCAATGCATAAATATTTTATACAATATTAATATTTTTATGATGATTTTTTAGTTTTTATTTTTAATCATATGCTATGTTTTTCTATTTGGATGTTCTAAATTGTATCCTGCTATAAGGCAATTTCTTTTTTCCAAATTCTGTACAACCAAATTATATTTTTCATGTATTTTTTCCATTTTTTTTGGACATTTAATGCTGTTTATAGTTTAGTTTACTTTTTATTCTTTGCATTTTAGCAAAAAAAATTATCATTTTAAAATTTTAGCCCTTTTTCGAGCTTTAACACTACTCAGACAAATTCGGCTCAGATGTCACTCGGCTCAGGTAGAGCCTGAGACAAGAGCCCAAGCAGAATAATTGAACCTTGGGTAAAAATAAATAAAAAATAAAATGAGGGAAATCGAGCAACTCCAAGTTCCTTAACCAGAATCCTTCACCTACCAATTCCAAATCGGATTTAGTTATCATACATCTGATTGTCGTCAATTACTTGGGCTGCTATGAAAACAAAATTCGCTTTGTTCAGTTGTATCTCAATGCAAAAGACCCTATGCATTAAAAGTTTCCGAAAGGATAAAATCTCAAATGCATAGCTGAGTTCTCTCAAATCTCAATGGCTTAAACAAGCAATTGTTGCAGCTATAAAAGGATTCTAGAGGATCCAATATCGAAACATAGTCATGGGGGGTACCACTAAATTCAGGTTGTGATTTGGAGGAAATGGATAAAGATCATTCTAATTCTTCTTACTTTGATTATACAGAGATGTAAAGTGCCCCTAAAACCATATCCGTAACTTCATGAGGGATCTTGATTAGGTGGGTGCCTCTCTACATCAGACCTGTTTATCATCTCTTCAACCCATAAGCTGATTCATCCTGAATTATTAATGACAAGTTTGGAACAAGACCCTCGAGATATTCTTCGTTCTACTCTTGAAAGAAGCCGATATAGGTTTTCCTTTATTTTTTGGGTGAGCTAGTGGGAGAGGGGCCCCTGCCCTTGGTAGGAATTGTGCTTAGGACGTAGAATAGCAATTCGTCAAGCGCTAACCAATTAAGCCCGGGCTCTTTTTCCTACGATCTAGGTTTTCTTTCCCTGTTGTTACCAGAAGCCACTATTTGGCTATGTTTTCTACAAGAGTGGGACTCAAAAGCAGTTAACACAAATGACATCGCAGTATTCATGCGCAAATGGTGGAAGATAATAGTACAAATCTTGTTTAGTAGTCCATCCAAACGAGGTAAAAGCTTGACCTTTTGAAAGATATCCCTCTTAGACTCCCACATCTCTTCCAAGGTCCAAACCCAAGGCTTAGCCATGAGAAAATCCTATTTACCCATATAATCAAGGTAATTGGTAAAAGGAAGTGTACTTAGATTGCAAATTAAGCTTTAGAAAAGGTAAAAACCATTGGTTGCCACCTACCTGTGAGCATGAGAATGGAGTTTGGAGAGAAGCCGAAGCGATCACAAAGCAAATACTTCATGCAATTTACATCATTAATGGTTCCCTTGAGCTCATTCCACCTTTGTCTGTAACTCACTCCACATAACAATGCCCTCTTCTTCCCATGCACTTGAGGATAGGTAGGAGGCCTTAGAGATTGATAGGTATAGGGCTCACTAGCCCAAAGGGGGGAGGAGGACGAAGATGAGAGAGAATTGATTGCATTATAGGCAACATGATTGACAAATCCTTTGATCCAGTTAGCTGCCTGCTTCACTGGATCTCGAGTTCGAACGGTAGTGATGGCATGACAAGCTGCACAACGGACCGACTTTGCATCGAGTGGGAATTGCAGCTCCACACCACAGTTGCCACACCTCTCTCTTCTGTAAGACATCTCTCTCTCTCTCTC